GAAGGTTGGAGAAGAGCAAATAGACAAATTCCCTCTTTCATTACCATGTGTAATCCGAAATACAGAATCAGATTTGTGATATATAGGGAGGAAGAAAAAGTAACAGACTTAAAGACCCAACTATCTACCTCACATGATAGGCTCTGTGAGTCAGCAAAACAAAAGCTTTTGGACAGAAGGAAGAATTTTTCATCTCTCTTCTGATGTGGAAACCTTCATGCAAGCCATGAAACTTTCATGCATGCCAAAGGCTCTGAGTGCCATGCAGCAATTGTCCCATTTTCAGCTACCAAGGCAGGAAAAAGGGAAGAGGGAGTGGTTCCACTTATTCTCCAAGAGAAAGAGGTCTTACTCTTCAAGAAATCACATCAGCAGCTTGTTTTCAGTGCTTGTTTGCAGTTCTTTAAAGTCACAATAATTTCTTCACCTGCCTTGGAGAGAAGGTGGCTCTGGAAAAGCCTCCTTTTAACCTTCCCTTGCCAAGACCACAGTGAGCAAGACTGCAGAGACACCCATGAGCATCAGCTCTGTGAGGCCCCAGGCAGGTCTGAGCCCACTGCAGGCTAATCCACAATCCTGTAGTACCTACACAGTTGTTCTTGTTGAAATAGTTCAAGGACACAAAGAAGACCCATGCCAAATACAAGTATCTTCAAAGGTAAAAATGAGGAAGGAAGCATAAGGTCTAAACAAAAGCTAGAGGCAAAAACAAGACATCATCATGCTAGAAGAACATATGAAGACAATCTCTCCTCTTATCTGCATCTTCCTCCCTTTTCTGCACTATTTGGCTTCCTCAGAATAAGTTTCTAATCCTAACTTTCCCAGCAAGACAATGAAGTGTAGACACAGTTGGCATAAGCATACTTACAAATTCCTCTCTGCACCCATCTTCTATGCTGTGGTTATCCTTTTACACAAAAGGATTCTTAAAAGTTGATTCTTAAAAGACTGCAGCATAAGGTGAATATAGAGTTTGGGTTGTCTACAGTCTACATAAAAAAACCCCAAAACAAAACCAAACACACCCACACAAAACCAAACAGGAATGAACAGAAATAACCTTACTACAATCCTTCTGATGATAAAAAAACTCAGCATCAACCCAACAGGTGCCTGTTGTGCTCTGAAGAGTAAGCCAGTAGACTAAATACTTCCTGGGCTTTGAGTGCCTTATCCTTCACAGTGATTTAGGGAACAGCACTGTTGGCTCCTGGACAATGCCGAACTGAATATAGCACATCATTGCCTTGGTGGTACTACCATTTTCCAAGCAAACACAGCCTTTCACCCGCTTTACCATAATATACCAGATAATGGTTTCATGAAGATTTTGGGACAAGAAAAAAATTAACATCAACATGGTCTCCTTTTTATGGTCAACTTTCTTAAAGTACAAGCATCCATCTTGACATGCTTATTCCATCACCTGAAAACGCCTCTTACCCTTCCCAAAGCCTGCACCATATCCCACAGCTCAAACTGCTGCCATGAGCACTTCCCTGTGTGAACACATACCTGTAGTATAATGAAAGTGAACTTACAAGAACAGCATAAACCACACAGAACAATGCGTGAATAAATACAGAACTGCTCGGATTTTCTCCAGTTTTTACTGCAATAATGTACCTCCTTTTCTAAGAGCAACAGTGATGCTGCTACAGTTTTTCAGATGACAGAACTATGGATCAAGTTTTGTGCACAAGCCTAGGGCCAAAAAGTGACAGGGTAAATGCCTAATAGCAAATCAGTCATATTACACTGGCATGTTCCATAAAGAGACAATTATTCATGCTCAAAGTTGTCGGACACATTTTCTTTTCCTCTTCCTTCTCCTCCCAGCTCATATAGATACTTGTTTTGTCTAATTAGATGAACATTTATCTCCTGACAGGCAAGAGCTGGCAATACTACAATCATCCTTCCCTCTATCCCTGTTTAACTAGAGATAGTTGAGAGGAAGTGATTGCAGAGAAGACAAGTCCTATTTCCCCGGCTCATGCTGCCATAGGCAATCAATTTGGAGCAAAGGTTCCATCTTGAAAATGTCAAACAGAATGAAAGAAGACAAAAATCAAAAATGGTAAAGTCAGCTCCAACCATTCCTCTCGGACCAGCTGCTCTCCCGGGTTCTTCCAGCATAGCTGAGAGCACAGCTAGAGGAGTATCTGCTTTCTGTGCCAACTGGTGCCATGAGGGCCTCAGCCTCAAATCAGTTGTCCCTCACCCGCTCCTGCAATTCGAGAGAAACTGCTGGACCATCAGTCCTGCCTGCCAGTCTGAAAAAAGCGGTCTGTGGTGCACAGCTGAAGGCCCCTTCTCGCTGATTCCCAACCCAGTAAACATGCAAACCCACAGATTTCCTTCCCAGGAACAACAGTTTGCTGCCCAGACACTAGGGAAGGAAAATAATCACTACTGGCAAAGGACAACAGTGGCTTCAGCCTGGTAGAGGCAATTTTTTTTTTTTAGCAGGGTGATCAGACATTCTGGTTTCGCTTTTCCAGTTCCTCTGAAATTCTCCAGGATGCCATTTTGCCCCAGTGTTTCATGGAAATACTTTTTTTCCTCTTTCATCCTACAGATCTGAAAAATAATCCATGGCAAGAGAAGGAAGATCACCAGCCTTCCAGCTCCTTTTGCAGTTTGTCACAACACTCACTAAAAAGGAAAATTCTGAACAGGAAATTGTTCAGAGGAAAATAATGGCCAGGTTGACTTGGATGTATCAGGATAAGCAGTGGTGAAATGAAGTAGCTGTGACCTGGATTAAACTAGTCCAGGGGCATAGAACAGGGTCAGCTGCTAAAGCAGGGACTAAAATCACTGGGACTTTCTGAAGGGTCTAAGTGTCTACTGCACTGCAAAGGGACAACATTCCCCTCAACCAAATCACAACTTGAAAAGATTCGCATTGCCCTAGTTTTTTAAAACAGGTTGCTGTTCCTACACAGGAACTAGTCATACAGAATCAGTTCACTCTTCAATGCAGTGACCTCCAGAACCTTTATTGGCTAACTCCACATATCAAGCACTCTCCACTTGCCCATAACTGCTCTGGAGAAGCAAGAGCTTCAGCAAAATATTTCTCTTCTTCTCTGTCTGTAGATAAGTAGATTCAAACTTCAGCTCTATCTACACCTACCTACACTCATCTGAATCATGAACTGGCAAGAAAATTTGGGTCAGAAATATACAGGAACGCCCACAACACTCCATGTACCCTCCCCAGAGAGGGCACAAGCAGCCTCACCCTGAGAGTGCCTCAGACCAAATCAGATATGTAAATGTGTGAGCACAGAGTGTCTAGACTGCTACTTTGGAGACTGACAAATGACCTACTGAACACTCCCATCAGCTGCCAACACACCAGGCTCGGGAACTTGCTGATCCCACCAAGGGATGCACACACCAAGATGCACATGACCGGGTATATAAGCCTTTACTTGAGCCATTGCTGAGATAAAGATTAATTTTAGATAATAATTCTTACATTAGACAGTGAGATTCCCAGTGGATGGTTGCAGAGAAGTCATTGTTGCTCACAACAGTGGCAAAAACACACGTACACCAAAAAAAGCATAAACAAAGGCCCTCCCTACAGCCCTGACAGAAGATGTCTGGGGGGTACATTTTTTTTTTTTTTTTGCCCCCAGATGAGCAATGTTAACATAAAACTAACACCAGCAGAGAAGACAGGTGGTAGAAGAAAACCTGAAGGGAACTGGTCTTCTGATTACAGGGTCAAATGAGCACAGAACAGTATTTTGCAATACCAGTGTCTTACAACCTTCTGACAGGCATGAGTTCAGCTATTCCTTTTCTTTGTGATGTCTCAATCAAAATATGTATTTATCCACACAAACACAATTAAAAATAAAGTAAAATAAAAAACTGGCATTTAGCAAGACCTTCTAGGGCATTCTTAATTCTTTACCAGATTTGACCAGCCAGGCCTACAAGCACCAAGGAATTTCAAACCATACCCGACCTCACCAATGCAGGAAATCAATTATAACATTGCACCTTCTCCTCCCCAGAGCTTAAAAGGACCCTTCCAAAGCAACAGCCACATTAGGCAGGAGTGAAACAGAGACTGAAAGCCCTGAGAACACCAGAGGTCTAGCACAGTTCTCAAACTGACACAGTCCGGACAGTGGAAGCTCACTACCACCTTTCAAGGTTTTCATCAGTCAGCATTTCCTTAACCCCTGCCACCTTCAAGGAGTTGTTAACTGCTTCCACCAAAACAGAGCTGCTCACCATGTTCATCAGTCCCCATGACTATATAGTAACAAAATCAAGTTTCAGTGGCCTCTTTCCTTGCGAAATCCTACCTCTTGCATTTTATCAGTGAAAACGGTTTTCCATCTCCAAGATGAGAGCGAGACAAGATTTAAGGTCAGCCAATACATCCCAAGGCAATTCCATCCCTGTCAGATCTTGTTGCTTCAGCAAATGTTACGAGTTGGTGACCACTGGCTACAATTATCACTGAGCACTAAGCTCCTTCCCTCTGCCTTAAAGGGTGCAGCAATTCTCTCCCTAGATCTTCAAAGGAGACTGTTGCCACCCAGTAGCTTCTGGCACCAGGACATATTCTACAATAAAAGCCAGCAATGAATTCTCCTGGAAGCAGGAAACTCAGCAGCAGCATCAACTGCATGAGAATCCACTCACGTACAGAGCATTCTACTGAATTAAAAAATGGGGCATTGATTTTGTTATTCATTTTTGTATTTAACTCAGTATTAATCCCTGCATACAAATGCCTTTTCCCCGCTGCCACTTTCTCATGCCTCAGCAGAATTCCTAGTCAGCAGCAGAAACAGAGATGTAGGTCCTGAGAACAAATCGATTTGTCTGCTACGAAGACAAACTGTATGTGAGATGAGGGCTCTGAATGGGCCGTCAGTCAAAGCCTCTGCTCTCACTCATCAGCGAGCACCTCCCTCAGCCTGCGCGCGAGGAGAACGGAGAAGGAAGCCAGCAACACTTACGCAAGGCGTGCCACTCATCCTGGCGGATTGTCTTGGTGATGTTGTAGGTGAGGTTCTTGGGAATGGTCGCTGAGGAGTAGTGGTACTTGATGTACGAGCACCGCTCAATTGCTCCTGGGAAAGGCAAAATGCAGAAGAGAAAGTGCTGTTAAGTGAATGCAATGTGTCCTCCCAGTTGTAGACCAGATGGGTTTGACAACCAAAAACAAAGCTTAGGAGCAAAGCAATCGCTACCATCGACAATCAGCACCATCTGTGGCCCATGAGAAGCTTATCTGTAGGGTAACCTGACTACCTGTATTGTAAGTTTGGATGTGATCTTCCACACATTCCAGGAACCTCCCAGTCTGGCCCTATAGTAGCTGGCAGAGTGTCAGCTTTCACCATCAGATATCTATTAGGCAAATTACCCCTTCTTTCATGTCTTTTCTCTGAAACATGAGTGAGCAGCAGCAATACAGTTACTGTGTTGAAATTGTAAATTCATGTCTTAGCTTATTGTACAGTCATGGGTCTCAGTGCCCATACTCCAGGAGATACACAGAGCAAACATCTTTGATCTTTCCTCAAGCAATGAAAAACAACACAGAAAAAAATAATACATCAGATAGTAAACAATTTGCCTGACCCCTTTCCACCCCACAGCAGGATACATGACAATATGTCTCTTGACAATATGACACCCAGACACTTTCATAAAAGGTTCAGAAACAGAATTTATTGGCATGCCTGAACAATGAGCCTCAGATGGCAACATGAATGGCTGAAATGGGCAATTTTTTTCTCCTGCAGTCAGGATTTCATCTGTGTTCCATGGGAAAAAGCATCACATGCTGCTTCTGTTACCTTTTGGTCACATTATTACATTCTCCTTTTACAGACATTTTCCTTCCTGTACAATAATCACAACTCCAGGCCCTGATCTCCTGGCACGTCTCTGCATAGTGAGTGTCCTTAGAGGAATGGGTCTGGTGTAGTCTGATGCTTTCCATGATTCACAGCCAGCCAAATTTCACATATGATCAGAAACCACAGGATAGCATAACTGTTCTTGTGTCGATGAAAGCCAGTCAGGTTTCCTGCATTCCTTTTGCCAGCATTCTCAGTTATCACTGGCTTTATTACACCTTCTCACTACGCAGTCAGATTCAAAGCTCATGAAAGCCATTTTTCTATTAATATTATGGTATTTTGGATCAGGCCTTTGATAACTAAATAGGTATCCCTAATGTGGTTGGCCACTGTTGGTTGCTAGCTACCAATGGTCAGAGAAGCAGCTATGCTGGAAATGCTTTTATGTATTAAAAATACATTAAGACAAGCACTCAATAGAATAAATTAAATGAAGCAATGAATTATATAAATAATAAAGAGCACTATACACAAAGAGGCAGGTAGAGAACACTTACTGTCAGCCTGAACTGAAAAGGTAGACCCATTAGCCTTATATTGACAGTTCCATGGGGTAAAATATGCTTTTATACCACCAGAAACTCAGGTTTCTACTTCAGGTTGTAAGATAGTACTTGGCATAAACTTAGATAATAGTCCATGAATTCACAGCATGAATAAGAAAGCCCATGAAACAAATTATTAGTTACATCAGAGCCTACCAGCATCTTCCAAAGTTAGTGCAATATAAACATTTGAGGTCCTCATTGTTTGCTTCTCTTAAGCATTCTTCACATTCTGCCTTTGACAGCAATTAGATTAGACAAAGCCAAATATTATAGGGGAAAAAGGCAAAATATTTACATATGTATCCGCCTGCCCTGACAGCGTGATGGGCTTCTGTGTGAGTCTGCACCATCTGGGCACCAAATGTACGCCCAGAATTAAAGTTTCAAACTAAGAATAGTATTTAAAAAAAAAAGATAGCTAGTGTGCAAAGAGCTTTTTAAAAAAATCCCCAAATCACAACCTTGCCTTCTTATAGGTTTTTGTATCCTGTTTTGTTCGGTTGCTTTCCTGGACCAGAAGCATCAGCAAGAAAATGGAAAATGCTCATTTTTCAGAAAATAATCTGTAAGTTATCAGATACCTGCCCAGACAAGAGATTTATATAGAATAACAGAAATAGACACAGAGCCAAGATTCAAAATAAAAGCTTGCAGAAGGAAGGAAGAAAAAATCCTGTTCCGTTTGCTATAATTTCTAAAAGTAATCAGCAGAAACAGCTCCTCTAAAACCAAAGAGGCTAATTTCTAGCAAGGTCCATCAGACTTAATTCTGCAAATACTGTTAGGAGTAATGCAGTGAGCTGTTCAATAGCTTTTACCAAAGCCTAAAGCAGAAAGATATCACAGTCTGAATTCAGGTCATCACTTGACCGTATCTTTAAATTTGGGCTTATGCTTACTTCCCCATGGTGTTAATGAGACTTAAGTACATCTAAAAAGACCTTCAGGAGCGCTGTCAACCGGGTGGGCAAACAGGGCACTTGGTGTTGCAGTTCACAAAGGCTGTGCAGGAAGGGTGCTGAAGCCCTGCCAGCTCCACCAGGGAGCAATGGTGTCCACCCAGCAGAAAACCATGGCAGAAGCAGGCAATAGCTTACTGGGAAACTCAAGCTCTTCATGGTCCAAAATGACAGTGTTTGGGATTGCTTTGCATTTAAACATGAACCATTTATTTAAACCCACTCTCACAAGTGTAGGAGAGTGACTATGCTGAGTCAATGCAGCTATATCAGCACATATCTAACTAGAGGTGAGAATTTGCTTTTGAAACTTAGAATAAGGCTTTCATTTGCCTGGACCTGCCAATAAAAATAATGAGAAGGGTGAGTTTATGGGTAGTGATAATTCCATACTTCTGATGTTTTCCTATTTGTCCCACTGAGAAGAGAACAAGGTTCAAGATGCCCAAATATCCAATTCCTGGAAGCCCCTGGGAGAGCAGAAGCAGTGAGTGCAGCAAGGATCAGAATGACTGCTCTCTTGGAAAGTCTTCTCAGAGAAATGCTATGAAATCCTTACCCTTCAGGAGAATTAATAGCTATGCTCACTGCAGTCTCTGAGATAGGAAGCAAAGCAAACTTTCCCTTCCGTACCCTTACTAGGGTAACTGCAATTTATGGAGCACCTCCAGCCTTCAGCACTAACTCAGGAAGACCAAATGCAACTGCAGCTGAGCTCTGCACTTTGCTGAAATAACTGGGAACAGTATTTATGGAGCAAACCAGTGAGTGGGTTTTTTCACATATGCAGCTGCCATAGCAAGAGTTATAGCTGGCCATAAGAAACACAAAACCACCACAAAGCTGCTCCGTTGACACATGCAGTATATTCCAGGTTTCTGTGACCAAAGGGAAATGTTTGCTGAAAATCCTAAAGAAAAGTAGCTGACATGTTCCAGTAGAGTGCTAAGAAAAGGATCAGCAGGAAGATGCAACTAGAGCGAGGCAGAGCAGACCTCTGCCATACTATCATCACATAAGCACAGATGCTCGGGGGATTCAGCAGCTGTTAACTGTGGCTGGCAACCCCCTGTTCCTGCAAAGGACAGATTACAAACAGAACTGAGATAAGGAAACTAGAGATAGCTTCAGCCTAAGCAGCTAAGCATTCACAGCATCAAACATGCCACTCCTCTTACTGATCCACTTACTTTCTCAGTTCCCTTCCCCTATCTGTTGATCACCAGTCCAAACTGCCATTTTATTGTTACATAATATTTCCTCTTCTCTCCATTGCAAGGAAAGTCTTTAACCTGTGCTATAGCAGAAATAGCACTTGAAAACACTGATTTTTTTCTATTAAATTTTCAAAACTATGGACATCCTGATGTTAGTTCAACTGCAAAAGAAACTCAGCTTCTACTGTACTACTAGGACTGTAAACATTATTCTGGGTAGAGGACTCAAACTTTTGGGTAATGCAGAGGGTGACTGAACCATTATCCCTCTCTAAACTGAAGAGAATTGAGACTTTACATTGCTGGTGTACATACTCTATTTGTCTAGTGGGTAATCTTTTTTTAGAACTTTTGAACCAGCCTTTCTTCAACACCCTGGGCATCTCCCACTCCCTTAAATATAATATTTAAACTCTTTCAAAGTGCTCCAAGAAAGAGTCTTTACCATGTTTAATTTAAGAAATAGAATGAAAATTCAAAGTGCCACCAAGATACTGGTCACCTCCATCCTAAATTTTGGATCCCAAAACACCCAGAGGCATTTGTTTGGTGAGGTCATTTGACTTTTGCAAAGGTGGTTGCCAAGTTTCATGAATTTACACTGTCAATATGATCACATAGTTAGTCTTCTGCATAATACAGACCAATTCATCTGACAGTTGGCAACGGAGACTAATCCTTGTGACGGTCTTTCATGAAACTGGTAATCTCTGAGAGCAGTTAGGTAAAGCTCAGTAATCTTACTTCAGATCCAGCCCATGATGGCACACAGAAGTGTTAATTGCATGGGTTATCTGATTATACTCCCCTCCTGTCAATGAGGGGATTGATTTCACACTTTTCCCCCACAGCTTTCAGGCCTGCAGGCTTTGGAACCATCCTTAACATTCAGGTACAGATTAACCCAGTGCCTGTGAATAAGTTATCTTTGGTAGCTGGAAAACTTGCAGGTACAGATAAGAATTTATCCCACTCTAAGATCATATGCAGCAGTCCTTGGGTAAAAGCAATGAGGAATCTCAGATGCAGGGAGCCAGCAGCTCGCTTGCTCGAGACTTCACCAGCCAGCACTGACACGACTGTCACCTTCCATCCTGTAACATGCAGAGACCTGAAACCAGGAGGTACCCATTCTTCTCTTGTAGTATGCATGTTGATTTCTAAGAAGGATCCAGCTGTACAACTAGTATTTGTTTTATGACATTTCCTGCCTAAGCTTTTGGTATGATGAGCTTCCCTGAAAAGACTGGTGTGGATGTTCTGAGCTACCTCCAGGCAGCTCTTCCTTCTTCTGTGTTGCAGATACCCCTGGATGAACTGTTTGTAGCAAGCAATTTATTCCATGAAATTCACCCTTTGTGCTAGCTCTAATTTTTACAAATCTGGTTGAGAATTATTACACAAACATTTCCTAAGAAAAGGAATCTTAGCCTCTGGCTTGCAAACTGCACTCACTTCATATATTTGCTATTCATTAT